GCCCATAAGGCAGGACTCCAACGTTCTGCACGTTCAAATGCACTGGGGCAGGGAGGGGCGATTCACACTGGTGCTCTCCCTCCTAATTTAGAGACTAAATCAGCCTCAGAGAAATTATAAAAATAGATTCACTCTTTTCCCGGGCACCTCTAGCTGAAATTGACTTGACCACTGTTCATTTTGCAGTGAAAGAGGAATTCTAGAATATCACCATCAAGTAGTCTACCCATAAGACCCGGTCTACCCACAAGATTCCTTTCCAGATCTAAGAAAACCCATGAGCAAAAGTTACCTTCATTTTTCTATACCATGGGCCAGATGTGAACATATATATCTTAAGATGCTTTATGTGATGGATTTCCAGAGATGAGACTCCTCAGAATTATTTCCCCAGAGTTTCCAAGGTGAAAATGCCATGCTGTTCTAGTTAATGTGTGCTTTGCCCAACATAAAGCACTTGCAGCCAATTTCTGTCCAGTTAGTAGTTTGCACTAACCATTTTCCAAGAGGAAATACTGCTACAAAATCTGAATTAAAGATACTAAGGGCAGTACCATCCCAGATATCCCCACCATTCAATGGGTCCGTTGTAATCAGATCTTCACACCATTCCCTAGTCACCTGAGGTTCCCAGGGGCACAGGCCTTACCTGCCCTTCATCTGCTCCATCTTCCACTCCATGCACCTGCAGCCGGGGTGATGCTCTGAGGACAGCAAATCCTCTACAAACAACATAAATCTCTTGTTAGTAAATGGGGCCTTTCTTAAAACTGCACAATATGCATTGCTTAGATTCCCCAAACGAACTTGTGATTCAATGTCCATGCCACATGGAAACATCTGGGGTATGAGATGGTGACAAGCTGGCGATAGCTGCTGGTGGTGGAGGAGGCATCTGCCATGGTGCCCAGAGTGCAGCCTGGCAGACCCTCTCTTGCAAGGGGCTTAGCAAGGTGAGCGTTCATTCTTGGGGAAGGTGTTCAGGCACACTAGGACAGAGCAGCGGAGCTGGGGGGCACTGCACACAAAGGAGGATGCTCAGGTGCTCGATGGGTTGCAGGGACGGCTTGGTGACAGTGTTTACCTGGGATGTTCTCTTCTGAGAGCATTTAGACAGCGCTGGAACCCGAGAGGTGAGCTCTGTCTTGTCCTCCTTCAGCTAAAGATGAAACTCGAGGCTGGGTATCGCGGAGACCTCGCTGGTGCACGTAAGGCTAAGGTTCTCAGGAACATCCACGTCACACACATCTTCATAGAACGAGGGCCTGCTGGGCCCTTGGCGTTGCTTCCTGTTTGTTCAAATTCAAAACTCTCCAGCTACCACACACTTAGCGCTTTCAGACCAATTTTACATGCTGATGCCTCCAGCCCAAGTCCCCAGCATGAAATATCAGACAGAAAAGACACCAGCTTGACAGCCTCCGGCCCTACTCACGGGCTGAGGGGCTGTGTGTGTGTCTGTGACCTGCACCCGGAGGAGTCAGTCATGTGAGGAGGCCCTGAGTGGGGGAGAAACCTCTGAACCTCAACACACATGCGCTAACACCCCTGAGATCCCAGCCAAGGCCCGGGAGAAGAACACACAGTAACACCCTCCCTAAAAGAAAGATGGATTCCTTCCACAGGGTCTTGGACGAAGGGGATTTTGTGAGTGCTTCTGGAGAATTTTCAAAACACCCTCTGAAGCAGCAACTTCACATTCGTGTTTGCAAAGTGCAATGCTGCATGCAGGCTGTGGTGCACGTGGCCACGTGCATAAGTTCAGGTGAGTCGGGGTGTGGTGGGCAGTAAGTATATTTTAAGCTTCTTTTCAAAAAAACTGTATTTGTGAAGAGCTACTTTTAGGAAACAATTCAGGGAATCTGTCCTCTGCTGAGCCTGGAGACCAAGGCCCCTTTAGGAAGCGATTTTCTTCCAGGGAATCTATTTGTTCCTCAGGTTACGCCTGGGCTCCCCACCCAGAGGCTGGTTCCAGAGAAGCAAAGGCTGTCAGGGGCCACCATCAACACAGCCTTGCCTGACGTCCTGCCTCTGGAAACTCACTGTGGGGCCCATGACCTCTGTGCTGAATATAAGCTGAGCAATGAGAACAGCATTCCCTCTTTGCCAGGCCCCGACCTGTCAAAACTGTCCTGCTTCTCACCACCACCCAGAGGTGGATATCATTTGGGCAGCCTCTTACTAGGTGTGCAAACCAAGGCCAACCTTACACAGCTGGACACTGGCAGAGCTGGGCTGTCCAGCCATCTCCTCGACAGACAGGGCCATGATTCAAGTGAATGAGTCACCAAGCCACCGAGACCATGGTATTACAGGGGCAAAAGGATTTTAATAGCCACCAAGGCACTAGGTACACAAAAAAAGGCAACTTCACTGGGTAGTTTTAAAAGTTATATTTTAGTAAAAATATCAGTAATCCATGCCCAATGTTTTTGGAAGGACCCCAATAAATTTAAACTTGGATGCCAGGAAGAGCATGAAAATAAACCTATCCTGAAAAAGACACATGATACAGCTGTTAGAGCCTCCAAAACATTTCTGGATATAATTTTTGAGTTATATCCAAAAATAAGTGAGGATTACTTGCTGATAAAAATAGATTATTTTTTGTACAGGGTCAGGTTGGGGGGGGGATTGATCCCAGGGGTCCTTAACCACTGAGCCTCATCCCAGCCCATTTTATATTTCAATTAGAGACAGGGTCTTGCTACATTGCCCAGGGCCTTACTAAGTTGTTGAGGCTGACTTTGAACTGGTGATCCTCCTGCCTCAGCCTCCAGAGCCACTGGGATTACAGGAGTGTGCCACTGTGCATGGCCTTTGGAAACAAGTTTTCCTAGTGCCTCTATAATTTGACCATGACATTAGATTTCCCTACAACCCTCCTGGAATATCTTTAGTATTAAAGTTGAACCACAGGCATGTTTTTTTTTAATTAGTTGTTGATAGACTATTTTATTTATTTGTATGTGGTGCAGAGAATTGAACCCAGTGCTTCACACATGCTAGGCAAGCATGCTACCACTGAGCCACAACTCTAACCCCCACAGGCATGTTTTAACACTTAGTTACCACTGAGACCTTAAAAGCTCCACACTGCATCACATCTACAAAATATGGGTGGAGTATTCCTTCTATGAATGCAAAGGGCTTCCTTCTGATGCTGATATGTCAGTTTGTTCCCTTTGTGTGGTCTCTAGCAATTAACTACAGTAAGGAATATGTCATATAAAGATAACCATTGCAGGGACAAGCAAATATGTCTTTTCAGAAAGTCTAATAAAACCCAGGGAAATCTGGTGCACTCAGAATTCCACACCATGTTTCTGAAGTCCAAGAATGGTTCTCCACTTGCCTATTATGTTGCTTCTATTTTTTACAGATCTAAATGGAACAGGGCTCAGGAAAGAAATCCAATCTACAAATCCACCACTGTCTGTTCCCCCTGCTTTCTTCTATGATATTATTATCACTTCTATCCATTTGGATTCTAATCCAGAGATCCCCAAGAATCTAAACCCCATCAAAGGGAAAACTGGAATCATTCATTGATTCCCCCAAATCATCCATCCCATCACTACCCCCAAGCATAACTTGGTCTCTTAGATGTCCTCAATCATTTGTGTGTATATCATTCTCCCCAACACCCGGAGGCTAGGCAAAGCAGACAGCTTGTGTGGCCCGGCATGTTGTGTATACACAGGAAACATTAGATCTCACGAATACGTCAGAAGAATTAAAATGGCATGAAATCATCTCAGAAATTGTAGCATCTATAATGAAGGGAATTCAGTAGAAATGGTCAACAGTACTCTCCCAGTCAACTGTCAGGCCTTTGAAAACTGTGCGGGAGAATGTACACAGTGCTGCCCAGTTTTCATGTCACACAACACTGGCAAAGTTCTCAAGGTACCTTTCCAGGTAAATGAAGGATTTAACAAGGAAACACTTATACTTTTCTTCTAAATGTCTTGCTTCAAAATGCCATTCCTTTGCCTTTGAAAGTTTTGTGAGCCATTCTCTACAAATATCTATAGACAGATTCCTTCCTCAGTGTAGGTAACAGATACCGGTACATTCCCACCATGTGTCTTGAGTTGTCTTAGAGAGAGAAGGGCAGCACCAACTCTTGATCATCAACTTCTTCGGTGAGGAAAAAGTATTCTTATGGCACTTAACAGAAATGAGGCGTGTACGTTACTTAACAGCTAATCACAATAACTTACTTCAAATTTCAATCTTTAGACTTCGGATTGCTCACTGAAAGATATATAACATAGCGAATCAAATGAAGCAATCAGGAAGCATTGTCTGAGGTCACTATTTAGATTGAGCAGTTCTACAAGTTCCGTACAACATAAATTCTTTGGCCACAGAAATGGGGTCGTTTCATACATAGTTGTAAATCTCTACAAGGTGACTTGAAATTGGCATTTTTCTAACAGTATAGGCTCTACCGGGAACAATACAAGGCCATGAAATTTCATAAAAATAATGCTTAAATACCCGTCCTCAAGGAGTTTAAAATCTAGGTGATGGTGTAGAATATATAAATAATATTCAAAATCACTGACACCTCACAGAATTAGTCCACTTCCTAAATGACTTACTCCCATGCATGGTTCTCCTTCCAGTTCAATGCAATTTCTTCTCTCTGTGTACTGTTGGAGATTACCCCTTGACCTCTGGATTTGATTTTATTTTTTAAAAAACATAGTTCAGTAAATTTTAAAATGTCAATCTTATCTCAGAATTTTTTCTGTTAAAGAAACAGACACGTCGCTCCATCCATCTACAACTTAATTATGAAAATTAAGCCTGGGAAAGGCAGCATGTCCTTTGTGGTGTGTCATAGACATGGAGAAGCACACTAAGGTCTTGCAATACCATGAGACACCCCAAAGGGCAGTCTTTCCTACCCAGAGTTTCTAGGCTGTAAACCTCGGAGACGCTTCCTTTCCGAGGTCAAAGTGCAGGAGCCCACCTTCAAGGGGGCTTACCTGGTAATCTGTGTCCTGGTGCTGAAGTCGAGAGACCTCATGGAGCGTAGAACTTCAATGCACCCCAAGTACTGCAGGAGGAAGAAACATAAATCATGAGTTCTGGGAACTGAGAGGCAGAGATGACTTCTAACGACAACAGGGGAATTTTTTTGGAAGCAATACGCATTTCTTAAATCACATTTTAACTCAAAATTCTGTGGCAAGACTTTGTTCTGTTTCTATGAAAGCAAACATTCAAACCCATGGGAAAGCATCCTAATACTTACATTGGCACAAAACGTGATTTTCTAAAACCCATTAGTATTGTCATTTTATTTAGATGCACATTCTTCAAAGCTTTCATGGGGGTATAACTTTCACGCTATAAAAGGCAGACATCTTAAATGTTAGCTCAACCTTATTTAGGTACATATTTGCCGTGGAACTGCAAATCAGACCCTATAGTTCTAGTTCTTTTCAAAACTTTAGGGTAGATTTAATTTTTTAAAAAATTTTATTGGAGCATGACACGTGTAACATAAACGGAATTCATCGTGGCTCTTCGTACATACACATACAATATGACAATTTGATCATTTCGTCCCCCAGACCTCCGCCTCCCCAAATCTCCTTCATCTAATCTACTCGTCAATTTTCATGAAATCACTTTTCATTCTGTTTTCATGAGATCTCTTCTTCTTCTTTTTTCTTTCTAGCTTTCACATGTGAGAGGAAAATAAATGACCCTTGACTTTCTGAGTCTGGCTTATTTCACTTAGCATCATGTTCTTCAGTACCATCCATTTTTCCTGCAAAGAGCACAATTTGTTTTTCTTTATGAACAAATTAAACTCTGTTGTGCACATACACCACATCTTCTTTATCATTCATCTATGGATGAACACCTAGGATGGTTCCATAATTTGGCGATTGTGAATGGTGCTGCTATAAACATGGGTATGCAAGAATCTGTGCAATGTGATTGATCCTTTTGGATAAATACTAAGGAGTGGTACAGCTGTATAGTGTTGTGGTTCCACGCCTAGTCTTTTGAGGAACAACCATACTGACTTTGAGAGCCATTGAACTAATTTACATTCCCACCAACAGTATATAAAAATTCTCTTCCTCACAGCCTTTCAGCATTTATTGTTATTTATATTCCCAGAAGTTTATTAAAAAAAATTTTAAAAAGAATGAAAACACTATATAAACCAATACTTTCATTAACATTAAACTTCATTTTCTAATAAATATATTTTGGGGGTCTATGAATAAACTAAAAGTAGCATTGAGTTTACCAGAAAACCCTCTCCTGCATTATTCACCATAAAATTTTCAGAAATTCAAATTTATCCATCTCAATGTATAGCTAAATTTTGATCCGTTTCACACATGAAAATGTATGGATGGATACAGGGACATAACAAAAATTCTGGATAAAAAATAGATGGAATTTTTATGTTCTTAAGACCTTGAGGAGTTCCAAGGTGCAGATGATATAGACAAATGCTTTTAAATTTAGTTACTTCAGACAAATGCCTTTAGATGTAGAATTTATGAAAAATCCTCACGGTATGGTACATAAAAGACTGTATTTGAATCATTCCAAAAACCTGAGTTTGGACTGGCCTTGGCAAAACCTGGTAAGGAAAATTAAACAAAAACTTTACACTTCTCAGAGCTTAAACCCCTAAAACCCCATAAATGGGATGGTTCCTCCTGCCACTGCATGATCACCAATATCACAAAGCTATTGAAAGACCACCTTTGCCATCCCAGCTATGTGAATTCCACAAAGATATATGAATTAGACTATCACTGACTCTGCAGAGTGATGTGACTGTTACAACTGACAGCATCAGTTCCCGTGAATAACAGGGCCGATGTCACAGTTACATGACAACCACCACATTCAGAGTCACAGAATTATACAAACACCGCACGCACACTGCAGAGCTATGTGAAAATACCACAGCCAGCCACACAGAGCTATGGGAACGCCACACACACCAACGTCCTAGGTGACGAAATACCACAACCACCTTCCCAGGGTCACGTGAATACCACAACCCAAACTGCAGGACTGTGAGGTGGCACTCTAGCCCAAAAATAAGCAGGACAGCCCCACCACCATTGTAGAACAATGCAAATAAGATAGCAACGTCAGAGTTCTGTGGAAATGATGGACAACAATGCAGTTATGTAGCTGTATTTGTCACATTCATTACAAAGTCTATGAAGACGTTCCCCATCACAGGTGTGTATCGACATGAATAATACGACCAAATCCAAGCTTCAGAAGTACTGTATCCAACATCATAATATTATATGGAAACCGTAACTGATGTTGCAGTGTATGACCCCCCTTTCCATAGATGCACATTTATTTTTTACTTATCTCTTTTTTCTTTACGATGGTAGAATATTGTTTGCACACAGCTTTTACACCACTGTGACCACTAAGACCTGACAACAATATAAGAAGAGGCAAAGCTTCTTTGGAGCTCACAGTTTTGGAGGTCTCAGTTCGTAGATGTCCACGCCATTGCTCTGGACCCCAGGTGAGGTAAAACATCATGGCAGATGGGTGTGGCAGCTCAGAACATGGTATCAGGAAGCCAAGAGAGACAGTTCCACTCTCTGGGGACAAAATATGCACCCCAAAGGCACACCCACAATGACCCACTTCCTTCAGCCACCACCTACCTGCCTACAGTTACCACCCAGTTAATCCCTATCGGAGGATTAATGCACCTTAGGTTAAGGCTCTCATCAATCCTTTTACCTCTAAACTTTCTCGCACTGCTTCACACATGAGCTTTCGGGGCAAACCTTATATCTAAACTGTAACATTCTGCCCCTGACTCCTGAAGCCCATACCCATGTCACAATGCTAACTACCTTAGTCCATTTCCAAAAGTCCCCATAGTCTGAACAGTTTTAGCATTGCTCAAAAGTCCAAGTCCAAAGCCTCCTCGGAGACTCAAGGCAAACTCTCAGCATGAGCCCCTGTAAAAATCAAAAGCAAATGACATATATCCAATATATAAAGGCACAGAGTAAACATTTCCACTCAGAAATGGAGAAATGGGGACATAGAAAGAAGGAACGGGATCAAAGTAAGACCAAAATCCAGCTGGTCAAACAAGTTCTGTGACTCCATGGCCAGCATCTGAGCACACAGCACCATGATGTGTTTTCCAAAGGGCTGTGTAGCTTCATCCCTACGGCTTGGCTGGTGGCAGCCCAAACAGTCTCTCTGATGGCTTGTCTCTGCTTGATTCCTGCAGCTTTCTTTGTCCATGGTACTGACATTTCTTAATCTTGCGGGGAGGCAGGTGCCTCCATTGCAGCTTCTGTATTCTTCTCACATCTCCATGCATTGCCCTCTCAGAGGCAGCCTGCAGGGACTCTGACCCTGCTGCACTTTGCCTGGCCTCCCCAGCCTTCCTTGGAAATCTCAGTGAAGCCTCCTTAACCCCAAACTCCAGCATCCTGCATTCCTGCAGAACCAGCACTACGTGGCTGCTGCCAAGATCAGCCACAACCTCAAGAGTAGCCAAGCATCCAGGGGCCCTGGCTGCTGCGGTCTCTGAGCGCCTGAATGGCTGAGCACCATCAAACGACTTTCTAGGAAGCCCGGTGCAAGCAGGGGGCCCCGCTGCTCTCCTCTCAAAAGAATGTTTGAGCCTCAGATGGGTGTGATCTTGCCAGTTCCTGAGGTGCCCTGCAGCCTTCCGTCCTAGTGTCCCTGTGTAACTTAGCATCTCTTTAGGGACTCCGTCTTTAACGACTGCCACTACCTTAGTCCCAGTTTTAGTCCCACTTTTCAGGTCCAAGTTTTTCAAATCCTTCTGCTCTGCTTTCTGCTCCTGACTATCACAATAAACGGGATTATTTTCAGGGTCCAGAAGAAATTTGAAAAAGATCCACTCTTGGATGCATAGTAGCTTAATATCAGAACTAAAGAATCAAGAGAAAAACATTCTGAAAGCATCCCACTAGTCCAGAATTAACATTATACTGAGTGAAGAGAAACTGGAAGCTTCCTTTCTGAGATCTGGGGCAAGACAAGAATGCCTACTTTCACCAGTTTCATTCACATAGTACTGCAAGTCCAAGCCAAAGCAATCAGGCAAGTCAAAGAAATGCAGGGCATCCCAAATGAGAACAAGGAGGTCAAATTAACACTGTTTGCAAAAATTAACACTGTTTGCAGAGATGCGATCTTATATACACAAAACTCCAGATACTCCACACACACACACACACACACAAAAAAAAAACTTTTAGAACTAATTCAGTAAAGTTGCAGAATACAAAAACAGCCTGTAAAAACCAGTATCATTACTATACACCAACAGCAAATTATCTGAAAAAGAAATCAAGAAAGCAACCTCATTTACAATGGCTGAAAAAAATAAATAAATAAACTGACAGGGAACATATTTAACCAAAGAGGCGAAAGATTGATGCAATATAAACCATAAAACTTTTGTAAAAGAAGTTAAAAAGGACATTAAAAAAATATGAGGAAACATCCCTTGTTCAACATTTGGAAGAATAAATACTGTTTAAGATGTCTTTACTACCCACATCACCCTACAGACTCAATGCAATCCTTATCAAAGTGCCAATCACATTCTTCACAAAAATAGGAAAAAAAAAAACCCTAAAAGTTATATGGATTCCCCTCCCCAAAGAGTCCAATATTCAAAGCCATCATGAACAAAAAACAAAGCTAGAGGTATCACATTACCTGACTTAAGAACATACCACAAAAGCTAGTAATCAAAAGTGGAACCACTCAGGAAAGCAGTATGGAGACCCTTCAAAAAAAACAAAAAACAAAACCAAAAAACCCTAGGAACAGGACCACTCTATGACCCAGCGTCAGTGTTTACCCCAGAGGACTCAACGCAGCCTGCTGTAGTGACACAGCCACCTCAGTGTTTAGAGCAGCACAGTTCACAATAGTCCAATTACGGAACCAACCCGATGCCCGTCAACAGATGAACAGACCAAGAAAATGTGGGCCACTACCCCATGGACTTTTACCCCAGCATCAAGAAGGACAGGGTGGCAT